AGGCGTGAGTGATGCTCCGTGGAGAAGTTAGAAGAGATAGAAGAAGTGAAATGAAGACAAAAAAGAGAGAGAGAGAGATGGAGTTTCATCTTACTCAATTTTCCTTGCCCTGACCTGTCATCTTGTCAGTGAAAGTCCACCTCAATTATACAACACCACTGCAGAAAAGAGCAGGGGAGAGTACAAGGGAAAGGGAAAGAGAGAGAGGAGAGAGAGAGAGAGAGATCCGTTGTTCCCTAAAGCGAAACCCTGTTCTCTGTTGTTTTGCCAGCTGCATTGGTCCGTGTCACGGGGAAATGAGTCCCCCGGGAGAGGGGGACCGCCATAAACGATGTGCCTGTGTGTAACTTGGGCTTGTGTGATGTGGGTTGGCAGAGAGTCTTCCTGGATGCTGGCCTGTCTCAGTGCAGTAGTAACAGGCTGTTAGGGACAGGGGTTTGTGAGGGTCCATGGGTGTGTGACCACGAGGTCGAACGTAGTTCAAACGACTGTGGTTCAAATGTAGAGAAGGCACTTGGCTGTTATTTGATGGCCGCCTCCTCAGAGTTGAGGAGCTGTTATGGTTGGTGGACAGTAGTGCGTGTACAGTACATTAACACACACCTCAGTGACAGGTGTCATGTCATGTAGCCTATGTCCTTCTACAATAACTGGAGCTTTTGGAACTGCTGTCAGTACTGCATCTTTATTGAGACCTTAGAAACATATTGTGTCTGCATGTGCTGTAACTACATAACGTATCTAGGTGAGATTAACGTGTTTCTTTGGCGATATAGACCAAAATCCATATGGTGATAAATTGCTTGAATTTATGTGATAATGATAAATAGAATGATATGTTTAAGACATTCATGACATTTTATTCTTTAAACTACTACTACTAGTTTGATGGTTGTAGCGAACAATGATCCCATTAACAATCACCCTTATTAGCTGTCAGGGATCCTCCCGGTACTGCTGCTCATTCCGTTCACCAGCTCCGGAGGTCTACGTCACCGGCCTTCTAGGCGTCACTGACATGGTTCATTACCACCAACCCCGGACTGTCTTGTCTCATTACCACACCTGGTTCCCATTCCCCCTGATTAGTATGTGTATATATGTGCCCTCTGTTCCCCAGTGTCCTTGTCGATTATTGTCCCATGTCTGTTGGTCTCGTGAGTACCTGTGCTCTGTTGTATCGGCTTTCGTGCTACGTGTTACTGTACATTGGATTACAGTTTACATACTGTGTCATTGTGCACTTGTTATTACGGGTCTCGTCCCTTGTATTATTTAGAGGTTTACACCTCACTCTTTTGTTTGGGTTACATCCCTGTGTTATATATATATATATACGTGTTTGTTTTGGGCTTGGTCCCCGTCAGTTTTCATGACGTACCTTATGTTGAGTAGAGTAATATAAAACCCTATTACCTATTCCTGTTCCTGTCTTCTATCATTATACAACGTGACATTAGCAAACTTATTTTGTTTCAAACTTCACATTTCTCTAGTAAAGGCTACTTATCGTAATGAACCATATCACCAAAATGCCTAAGTGATGGGTATGGTCGGTGGCGATCATTTTAGATTTATCGTCCCAGCTCTAATCTGTATTATAAATGTGTGTGTGTGTAGGTGTAATATTTGTGAATGGGAATCTCTCCAATTGTGTATGGAACCATCTCTCTTGTGTCCTGCTCTATCACACAGGTCAAGCGTGCCTGCATCATGTGGTGTGTGTGTCTGTGTGTGCATGTGTGTCTGTGTGTGTCTGTGTGCCCATATGTGTCTGTGTGCCCTCCTCAAACACAGGCCCTGTTCTTGGCTCTGGCAGTGTTCTGGCTGTCTTCCTAGCTCTGCAGCTCCCCCTATCCCTCCCTCCCTCTCTCTTTTCCATTCCTCTCCTATCCCTCCACCCCCCTCCACCCCCTCCCTCCCTCCATCCTCCTGTTCTCTTCCCAACCTTACCCCTCCTACCATCCCCTGACAGAGAGTAGTGTGGGGGGGCTGTTTTTGTGTTTGTTGCTGTATATGTGTATATTTAAATGTGTTGTTTTGAATGACAATGAGAAGGTAGGCCTGAATTGAATGTAAAGATAACCATCTTCAGTAGCCCTGCTGTATCCCTCCCCTTCTCCAGCAGGATAACCTTACAGCCTGCTACACAGAGACCTTCCCACCAGGGGAAGTACTGTTTCTGTTCACCTGAACCCTGTAATAAGATCTAATCTGAGATAGCCAGCTCCCCACCAGGGGCTAGTCTTCTTTTTAAGACCAAGGGAAACTCTTCTCTCTGAGACCCAGGGAAACTGTACTGTAGACAAGAGAAAACACAACACAATAAATTATTTCCAGGATTGTGTGTGTTTGTATGTGTGGATATATGTGTGTGTGTATTAGGAGAGAGAATTTTGGGGTGGTAATGTGTTGTTTTATGCTACACTAGATAGCTGTGGAGGGCTACAGTAAGGGGCTGTAAGGTGGTAGGTACTGTAAATATGAAAGTGGGGAATGGAGAGATGGACAGATTGAGCTAGGTTGGTCTGGGGATTGGAGGGGAGGAGAGTTGGTAAGAGTCTCAGGAGCACAGACAGATGGATGGAGGGTTACTGGGATACTGGGGAAGATGGCAGGATGGAGGTATGGGGGATGGAGGTATGGGGGATGAAGGGATGGATGTATGGGGGATGGAGGTATGGGAGATGGCGGTATGAGGGATGAAGGTATGGGGATGGAGGGATGGAGGTATGTGGGATGGAGGGATTGAGGGATGGCGGTATGGGGGATGAAGGGATTGAGGGATGGGGGTATGGGGGATGAAGGGATGGAGGCATGGGGGATGAAGGGATGAAGGGATGCATGTATGGGGATGGAAGTATGCAGGGTGAAGGGATGGAGGTATGGGGGATGAATGGATGAAGGGATGGGGGATGGAGGTATAGGGGATGGAGGTATGGGGTGAAGGGATGGAGGCATGGGTGATGAAGGAATGGAGGTATGGGAGTGAAGGGATAGAGGTATGGGGGATGAATGAATGGCGGCATGGGGGATGAATGGATGGCGGCATGGGGGATGAAGGGATGGGTGATGAAGGGATGAAGGTATGGGGGATGGAGGTATGGAGGTATAGGGGATGGAGGTATGGGGGTGAAGGGATGGAGGCATGGGTGATGAAGGGATGGGGGTATGGGGAAGAAGGGATGGAGGTATGGGGGATGGAGGGATGAAGGTATGGGGATGGAGGTATGGGGGATGGAGGTATAGGGGATGGAGATATGGGGGTGAAGGGATGGAGGCATGGGTGATGAAGGGATGGCAGTATGTGGGATGGAGGGATGGAGGTATGGGGGATGAAGGGATGGAGGCATGGGGGATGAAGGGATGAAGGGATGGGGGATGGAGGTATAGGGGATGGAGGTATGGGGGTGAAGGAATAGAGGCATGGGAGTGAAGGGATGGAGGTATGGGGAAGAAGGGATGGAGGTATGGGGGATGAAGGGATAAAGGTATGGGGATGGAGGTATGGGGGATGGAGGTATAGGGGATGGAGATATGGGGGTGAAGGGATGGAGGCATGGGTGATGAAGGGATGGGGGAATGGGGGATGAAGGGGATGGAGGTATGGGGGATGGAGGGATGGAGGTATAAGGGATGGAGGTATGGGGATGAAGGGATGGAGGTATGGGGGATGAAGGGATGGAGGTATGGGGGATGGAGGTATAGGGGATGGAGGTATAGGGGATGGAGGTATGGGGTTGAAGGGATGGAGGCATGGGTGATGAAGGGATGGGGGAATGGGGGATGAAGGGATGGAGGTATGGGGGATGGAGGGATGGAGGTATAAGGGATGGAGGTATGGGGATGAAGGGATGGAGGTATGGGGGATGAAGGGATGGAGGTATGGGGGATGGATGGATGGAGGTATAGGGATGAAGGGATGGAGGTATGGGGATGAAGGGATGGAGGTATGGGGGATGAAGGGATGGAGGTATGGGGATGAAGGGATGGAGGTATGGGGGATGAAGGGATGGAGGTATGGGGGATGAAGAGATGGAGGTATGGGTGATGAAGGGATGGGGATGGAGGGATGAAGAGATGGTGGTATGGGTGATGAAGGGATGGAGGTGTGGGGGATGAAGAGATGGAGGTATGGGGGATGAAGGGATGGAGGTATGGGTGATGAAGGGATGGAGGTATAGGGATGAAGGTATGGGGGATGGAGGGATGGAGGTATAGGGGTTGGAGGTATGGGGATGAAGGGATGGAGGCATGGGTGATTAAGGTATGGGGGATGGAGGGATGGAGGTATGGGGGATGGAGGTATAGGGATGAAGGGATGGAGGCATGGGTGATTAAGGTATGGGGGATGGAGGGATGGAGGTATGGGGGATGGAGGTATGGAGGATGGAGGTATAGGTGATGGAGGGATGGAGGTATGGAGAGATATGTGGTGGGACATTGGGGAGAGAAGAGCTATGGAGAGAGAAAAAGAGGAAAAGCCATGGTAGATGAAACAGCCAGGGCCTCTCTTCCCTCTCTCCCTTCCTCCCTAGTGACTACTGTATGTTCGATATTAGGAACCTCCCGTTCAATAAGGCGTTAATACCGGTTGTGCTCTTTATTTGTGTGTGTCTGTGTGTGTGTGTGGGGTGTGTGTGTGTGTGTGTGTGTCTGTGTGTGTGTGTGTGTGTGTGTGTGTGTGTGTGTGTGTGTGTGTGTGTGTCTGTGTGTGTGGGTGGGTATGTGTGTGGGTGTGTGTGTGTGTGTGGGTGGGTGTTTGTGTGTCTGTGTGCGTGGGTGTGTGTGTGTGGGTGGGTGGGTGGGTGTGTGTGTGGGTGGGTGTGTCTGTGTGTGTGGGTGTGTGTGTGCTTTGACGGAGAGGAGAGTAGGCTAGTACGGCACATCTCTGACATTTTGTCAACAGCTCCATTATTCTGTTGCTCGCGACGTCAGTGTGTGTGTCTGCCTGCCTGCCTGCCTGCCTGCCTGCCTGCCTACCTGCCTGCCTGCCTGCCTGCCTGCCTGCCTGCCTGCTTGCCTGCGTGTCTGTTTTTCTGGAATCTGAGAAATGGGCGGGTGAGAATATGGGCAGTGAGAGTTCTTATTGGTCAGTTAGAAGATAAAACAGCGTGACTTTTCTGGTTGGCCAGTTATTGTTCCAGAACACTAACCTATTGTTCAGATTGGTGAGAGGTTGTTCTATAAAAGCCTTGCTCTGCTCTGACTGGACAGAGATAATTCTGCAACCTCCACATTCTCTGGTCTCCTTTTGGGCAGCTGGAGAGAAGACTTTTGCACAGCACCATACTTTTACCAAATTGGCAGTTACCTGGTAAGTGTTTACGTGCTGTGTTTGTTTGTGTGTGTTGGTGCCTGCTCATAACTTAAAATGTGTTGACTGATATGCATAACGAGGGTACCTATTGAAATAGAAGATGGTGAAAAAACATTCTACAGCTGCAACTTCGAGAGCATTTTGACTGGCTTCATCATCGCTTGGTATGGCAAATGCACCGCCCTTGACCGCAAAGCGCTACAGAGGGTGGTGCGGACAGCCCAGTACATCACTGGGGCAGAGCTCCCTGCCATCCAGGTCCTCTATACCAGGCGGTGTCAGAGGAAGGGCCGGAAAATGGCCAAAGACTCCAGCCATCCAAGCCATAGACTGTTCACTCTGCTACCATCTGGTTAACGGTACCAGAGAATCGGCTCTCGGACCAACAGGCTCCCAGACAACTTCTACCCCCAAGCTATAAGACTGCTAAATAGCCAGACTGCTAAATAGTCAATTAATGCTACCCAAACTATCTGCACTGACCCTATCTTGCACTGACCCTACGCACACTCACTAGACTATATACACTGAGTGTACAAAACATTAGGAACACTTTCCTATTATTGAGATTCACCTCATTTGCCCTCAGATCAGCCTCAATTTGTCAGGGCATAGACTCTCCAAGGTGTCGAAAGATTTCCACGGAAATGCTGGCCCATTTGACTCCAATGCTTATCACGGTTGTGTCAAGTTGGCTGAATGTCCGTTGGGTGGTGGACCATTCTTGATACACACGGGAAACTGTTGAGCGTGAAAAACCCAGCAGCATTGCAGTTCTTGACACTCAAACCAGTGCGCCTTGCACCTACTACCATACACTGAAGTGGATTTAACAGGTGACATCAATAAGGGATCATAGCATTCACCTGGTCAGTCTATGTCATGGAAAGAACAGGTGTTCCTAATGTTTAATGCACTCAGTGTATACACACCATATACTCACTCACATACACACACTACATTGACACTCCCACACAAACCCACACACATTCACATACACTACATACACACACACACACACACACACACCACACACACACACACACACACACACACACACACACACACATAACACACACACACGCATACTGACACACACAAGCACACACACAAAAGTACACATTACACACACACACGCACACACATACACACACACCTTTACACTCATGTGCTGTTGCTACTATGTTCTTTATTTTACTCTTATTATTATCTATCCTGATGACTAGTCACTTTACCCTGCCTTCATGTACATATATACCTCAAATACCTTATTATGATCTATCCTGATGCCTAGTCACTTTATCCTGCCTTCATGTACATATCTACCTCAAATACCTTATTATTATCTATCCTGATGCCTAGTCACTTTACCCTGCCTTCATGTACATATCTACCTCAAATACCTTATTATTATCTATCCTGATGCCTAGTCACTTTACCCTGCCTTCATGTACATATCTACCTCAAATACCTTATTATTATCTATCCTGATGACTAGTCACTTTACCCTGCCTTCATGTACATATCTACCTCAAATACCTTATTATTATCTATCCTGATGACTAGTCACTTTACCCTGCCTTCATGTACATATCTACCTCAAATACCTTATTATTATCTATCCTGATGCCTAGTCACTTTACCCTGCCTTCATGTACATATCTACCTCAAATACCTTATTATTATCTATCCTGATGACTAGTCACTTTACCCTGCCTTCATGTACATATCTACCTCAAATACCTTATTATTATCTATCCTGATGCCTAGTCACTTTAACCTGCCTTCATGTACATATCTACCTCAAATACCTTATTATTATCTATCCTGATGCCTAGTCACTTTACCCTGCCTTCATGTACATATCTACCTCAAATACCTTATTATTATCTATCCTGATGACTAGTCACTTTACCCTGCCTTCATGTACATATCTACCTCAAATACCTTATTATTATCTATCCTGATGACTAGTCACTTTACCCTGCCTTCATGTACATATCTACCTCAAATACCTTATTATTATCTATCCTGATGACTAGTCACTTTACCCTGCCTTCATGTACATATCTACCTCAAATACCTTATTATTATCTATCCTGATGACTAGTCACTTTACCCTGCCTTCATGTACATATCTACCTCAAATACAGTACCTCATACCTCTGCACATTGATCTGGTACTGGTACTCCCTGTATATAGCTCCATTCTTGTGTATTTTATTTTATTCCTCTTGTGTTACAATTTTATTTTTTCTACACCAGTTGTATTCGGTGCATGTGACAAATACAATTTGATTTTAGTTTGATTTGAAATGGTCAGAATAAAATAGAGGAAGAATAAGACAGTTGAAGCTCTCATCACCTCATCCTCCTCCTCCCCCTCCCATCTCCAGTCTGCTCCATCCCTGCTGTTATCTTCCAGGCTGCCCCCAGTCAAGAGTACAATGGCTTTTTAAACAGGCAGGACTCTGGGGACCCGAGCAGAGGGACATTATTGGCCTCATTTAGCACCCATCATCACGGCGATGGCTCTTCCAGATAGGGCCTGTTATTGCCATGGATACCAGCACATCCCTGCTAAGAAATACCAAGCCTAGCATTGCCCCTTATTTCAGGGATTTGCGTGGGCTTTTTTGTTATTGGTAGTATAGGCTCACTACTGTAGCACACACACATACCCTCTCTGGGAGGGCTGTTTGATGTTAAAGAGCAGCTGTAGGTTTAACAGTTTTTTGGATGGTGGATGACCAAGCTTAGCCTTGTCTCTGTCTCTGTCTCTGTCTCTGTCTCTGTCTCTGTCTCTGTCTCTGTCTCTGTCTCTGTCTCTGTCTCTGTCTCTGTCTCTGTCTCTGTCTCTGTCTCTGTCTCTGTCTCTGTCTCTGTCTCTCTCTCGCTCTCTCTCTCTCTCTCTCTCTCTCTCTCTCTCTCTCTCTCTCTCTCTCTCTCTCTCTCTCTCTCTCTCTCTCTCTCTCTCTCTCTCTCTCTCGCTCTTTGAGGGATTAGTAGCCTAGAGGCTGTTATACAAGAGTCATGTTATGTTGATGAGGATTAGAGTGGTGATGAGACAGGACAGGAGTCATGTTGATGAGGATTAGAGTGGTGATGAGACAGGACAGGAGTCATGTTGATGAGGATTAGAGTGGTGATGAGACAGGACAGGAGTCATGTTGATGAGGATTAGAGTGGTGATGAGACCGGACAGGAGTCATGTTGATGAGGATTAGAGTGGTGATGAGACAGGACAGGAGTCATGTTGATGAGGATTAGAGTGGTGATGAGACCGGACAGGAGTCATGGTGATGAGGATTAGAGTGGTGATCAGACGGTAAGCAGGGTGGACTGACATGCCCTCCAACAATACCCAGTACCGTGGAAGATAAGTTCTGCAGACAATAGGGATTGGAATGGGATCGCTGGCTGAATATACATGACACACACACACACAAAGATATACACACTCACACACACACACACACAAACACACACACACACACACACACTACATGAGTAGGAGTCCTATGTCAGTCCTGACTAATGCTGGGTTGTGTCAGTGTTGTGCTGGACCAAATAAGTGACAGGTAATTCCTCAGTGCAGGAACAATATAGTGAGGAGAGAGCCTTATTCTGGTCCCCGCTCATTTTTTAATTGCGTAAAATTTGGTATCCTTTTTTTTTTTTGCAGGCCATCTAATCATTGTCAAGTAAAAATGTTTTTGAACTCACATTTCACGATCCGACATAATGTCAGGCAACTTTGTAGGCTTTAAATTAGAGATGTAATTGTTCTTCATGGTTTTAGGTCAATTTCTAAGCATTACTGAACGAGGAGCCGTTTGGGAGCCAAATGATCGGCTCTTTTAGGTGAATGGAGCCAAACGATCGGCTCTTTTAGGTGAACGGAGCCAAACGATCGGCTCTTTTAGGTGAACGGAGCCAAACGATCGGCTCTTTTAGGTGAACGGAGCCAAACGATCAGCTCTTTTAGGTGAACGGAGCCAAACGATCGGCTCTTTTAGGTGAACGGAGCCAAACGATCAGCTCTTTTAGGTGAACGGAGCCAAATGATCCGGCTCACAGAAAAGACTCGGAATGCCCAACACTAGTAGCCAGTTGATGTGATAACTGTCTTGTGGGTTGACCTAAATACTTTCCCCAAAACCTTCTCAATTAAATGTTAACTGCAAAGTAGGCTTACCTGGCAGAAGTATATCATGAGTAAGTATATAATTTGTATCTGTTATTTGTTATTTGTAAACTTTGCCATGAAATTTGTAAACAAGACCAGCACATTAGACTGCACACTAGCTAGACCCGCAATTAACGAGGAATTACACTCAAAGATCTAAATGTGTTTGTTTTCTTCCAGAACTACATTTTTTTTTTTCATAAATATTATTTTACCAGGTATATTGACACTAAAGTCCCTGGGAAGAGTTGCAGGGGAGAGGTTAAGAGAAGAATATGCCTTTTTGAAAGCTAAAAATAATAATATAACTAGCTCGTGACATGTAGATTTTTAAAAAAAAGTAGCTCTCAAGCTAGAAAAGGTTGAAGACCCCCCTTTGCCTTAGAGTCATTCAGCAGTTGTGCTTGAAAAGGGCAACAGTAGCGCAAGAGTTGTTCGGTGTTAAAAAGTAGCCTAAATGGGACATGGAATTCAATGATTGCGTTGTGTTGAAGAACAGGCTGGTGTGGTCGCCCTCAGTGGGAGGTGTGTGCTAATGGTTGAGGTAGGAGACGGTCACTGCTTCTTTACTAAAGACCATGTTGACGGTAACCATGAGAGACGGATAGACTCAGGCATCAGACAATCAACAAACACAACTGGAGAACTGGTCTTGGGAAATGCTCCTCTTGCAGAGCACTCTGCACACACTGCTGTTTGTGTCTTTGTGACTCTTCCAGTAATGGTGTGTGCAGGTGTGTGTGTGTGTGTACATGCATTTCTGTGTGTGTGTGTGTGTGTGTGTGTCGGTAACGAGGGGGTTGGCTGTGAATCTCCGGGTAACTAATCACAGTCAGTACAGAGGTGTATGGTGGGAATAAAGCCTTGCATCCCTTCCTCAGCTCACCGCCCATCGGCCCTCGTTAACCCTCTGATGATTAACCAGGACCGCCCACGGTCAACCATGGTCAGAACCAGTAGCCTTGGCAGTCTGTGAAGCGTGGTCGTTATACAGCGTCAGCAACTCACATCAGTACTGAAGAATAACACACACAGACACACATACTGGGAGGATTCCACTCACTCTACACACACATACTGGGAGGATTCCACTCACTCTACACACACATACTGGGAGGATTCCACTCACTCTACACACACATACTGGGAGGATCCACTCACTCTACACACACGGAGATTCCCTCACTCTACACACACTACTGGAAACCCAAACTCACTCTCAACACATACTGGAGGAATCCACTCACCTCAACCACATACTGGGGGTTCCACTCATCTAACACACATATACTGGGAGGAATCCACTCACTCTACACACACATACTGGGAGGAATCCACTCACTCTAAAACACACATACTGGGGGGATTCCACTCACTCTACACACACATACTGGGAGGATTCCACTCACTCTACACACACATACGGGAAAGGAATCCACTCACTCTACACACACATACTGGGGGGAATCCACTCACTCTACACACCCATACTGGGAGGTTTCCACTCACTCTAAAACACACATACGGGAGGAATCCCTCACTCTACACACAAAAATACTGGGAGGTTTCCCCACTCACTCTACAAAACACATACTGGGAGGATTCCACTCACTCTACACACACCATACTGGGGGGATTCCACTCACCTCACACACCATTGGGAGGAATCCACTCACTCTACACACACATACGGGAGGAATCCACTCACTCGACAACACACATACTGGGAGGATTCCACTCACTCTACCAACACCATAGCTGGGAAAGGAATCCCACTCTAAACCCAATCTGGGATGATTCCACCACTCTACACACCATACTGTGAGGGGATTCCACTCACACTCTACAACACACATACTGGGAGGATCCACTCACCTCTACACACACATACTGGGAGGATTCCACTCACTCTACACACACATACTGGGAGGAATTCCCCACTCGGCACACACATACTGGAGATTCCCACATCTACACCCACATACTGGGAGGATCCACTCCCCTCTACACACTACATACTGGGAGGATTCCACTCACACTACACACACCATACTGGGAGGAATCCCCACACTCTACACAACAATACTGGGAGGTCACTCTCCCACACACATACTGGGGGGAAATCCACTCACTCTACACACACATACGGGGAGGAATCCACCCCCCCCTCTACACACACATACGGGGAGGATTCCCCACTCTACACACACATACTGGGAGGATTCCACTCACTCTACACCCCACATACTGGGAGGTTTCCACTCACTTTTACACACACATACTGGGAGGATTCCCTCACTCTACACACACATACGGGGAGGAATCCACTCACTCTACACACACATACTGGGAGGATTCCACTCACTCTACACACACATACGGGGAGGATTCCACTCACTCTACACACACATACTGGGAGGATTCCACTCACTCTACACCCATACTGGGAGGATTCCACTCACTCTCACACACATACTGGGAGGATTCCACTCACCTACACACACATACTGGGAGGATTCCACTCACTCTAAAACACACATACTGGGAGGATTCCACTCACTCTACCAAAACATACGGGGAGGATTCCACTCACTCTACACACACATACTGGGAGGATTCCACTCACTCTACACACACATACTGGGAGGAATCCACTCACTCTACACACACATACTGGGAGGAATCCACTCACTCTACACACACATACTGGGAGGATTCCACTCACTCTACACACACATACTGGGAGGAATCCACTCACTCTACACACACATACTGGGAGGATTCCACTCACTCTACACACACATACTGGGAGGAATCCACTCACTCTACACACACATACTAGGAGGAACTATTTCAAATGTTCCTAAAGTGAACAGCGCCGGAAGAAGATGGCTGCCGTTTTACAGCCCTCTAACCAATTGTACTATTATGTGTGTTTTTCCGCGTTATTTGTAATTTATTTTGTACATAATGTTTATGCCATCGTCTCTTATAACCAAAGAGAGCTTCTGGATATCAGGACAGCGATTACTCACCTCGCGTTGGACGAACACTTTTTCTTCAACGAGGCGTTCGCGAAGGATATCCTACAGACACCCGACAAGGCCCAGATCCCCGTCATTCGCGTGAGGAAGAGACGGAGATTTCGTGGACGTAGGTCGGGGTGCCTTGTAAGGATCCGACGGCGAACGAGTAAACTGCCTCTCCCATCAATCCTATTAGCCAACGTTCAAGCTTTGGAGAATAAAATGGACGATTTAAGATTACGGTTATCCTACCAACGGGACATTAAAAACTGTAATATCTTATGTTTCACGGAGTCGTGGCTGAATGACAACAATGACAACATTCAGCTAGCAGGCTATACGCTACATCGGCAGGACAGAACGGCAGACTCGGGTAAGACGAGGGGTGGCGGTCTCTGTATTTTTGTAAACAACAGCTGGTGCACAAAATCAAATACTAAGGAAGTCTCAAGGTTTTGCTCGCCTGAGGTAGAGTATCTTATGATAAGCTGTAGACCACACTATTTACCAAGAGAGTTTTCATCTATACTTTTCATAGCTGTCTATTTACCACCACAAACCAATGCTGGCATTAAGATTGCACTGAATGAGTTGTACAAGGCCATTAATCAACAGGAAAACGCTCATCCAGATGCAGCGCTCCTAGTAGCAGGGGACTTTAATGCAGGGAAACTTAAATCCGTTCTACCTCATTTCTACCAGCATGTTAAATGTGCAACCAGAGGGGAAAAAAACTCTAGACCACCTTTACTCCACACACAGAGACGCATACAAAGCTCTCCCTCGCCCTCCATTTGGCAAATCTGACCATAACTCTATCCTCCTGATTCCTGCTTATAAGCAAAAACTGAAGCAGGAAGCACCAGTGATTCGGCTAATAAAAAAGTGGTCAGATGACGCAGATGCTAAGCTACAGGACTGTTTTGCTAGCACAGACTGGAACATGTTCCGGGATTCTTCAGACAGCATTGAGGAGTACACCACATCAGTCACTGGCTTCATCAATAAGTGCATCGATGATGTCGTCCCCACAGTGACCGTACGTACATACCCCAACCAGAAGCCATGGATTACAGGAAACATCCGCACTGAGCTAAAGGGTAGAGCTGCCGCTTTCAAGGAACGGGACTCTAACCCGGACGCTTATAAGAAATCCCGCTATGACCTCCGACGAACCATCAAACAGGCAAAGAGTCAATACAGGTCTAAGATTGAATCATACTACACTGGCTCTGACGCTCGTCGGATGTGGCAGGGCTTGAAAACTATTACAGACTACAAAGGGAAGCACAGCCGCGAGCTGCCCAGTGACACAAGCCTACCAGACGAGCTAAACCACTTCTATGCTCGCTTCGAGGCAAGCAACACTGAAGCATGCATGAGAGCACCAGCTGTTCCGGACGACTATGTGATCACGCTCTCCGTAGCCGATGTGAGTAAGACTTTTAAGCAGGTCAACATTCACAAGGCCGCAGGGCCAGACGGATTACCAGGACGTGTACTCCGAGCATGTGCTGACCAACTGGCAAGTGTCTTCACTGACATTTTCAACATGTCCCTGACTGAGTCTGTAATACCAACATGTTTCAAGCAGACCACCATAGTCCCCGTGCCCAAGAACGCTAAGATAACCTGCCTAAATGACTACCGACCCGTGGCACTGACGTCTGTAGCCATGAAGTGCTTTGAAAGACTGGTCATGGCTCACATCAACAGCATAATCCCAGAAACCCTAGACCCACTCCAATTTGCATACCGCCCCAACAGATCCACAGATGATGCAATCTCTATCGCACTCCACACTGCCCTTTCCCACCTGGACAAGAGGAACACCTACGTGAGAATGCTATTCATTGACTACAGCTCAGCATTCAACACCATAGTGCCCTCAAAGCTCATCACTAAGCTAAGGATCCTGGGAATAAACACCTCCCTCTGCAACTGGATCCTGGACTTCCTGACGGGCCGCCCCCAGGTGGTAAGGGTAGGTAACAACACATCTGCCACACTGATCCTCAACACGGGGGCCCCTCAGGGGTGCGTGCTCAGTCCCCTCCTGTACTCTCTGTTCACCCATGACTGCATGGCCAGGCACGACTCCAACACCATCATTAAGTTTGCCGACGACACAACAGTGGTAGGCCTGATCACCGACAACGATGAGACAGCCTATAGGGAGGAGGTCAGAGATCTGGCCGTGTGGTGCCAGGACAACAACCTCTCCCTCAACGTGACCAAGACAAAGGAGATGATTGTGGACTACAGGAAAAAAAAGAGGACTGAGCACGCCCCCATTCTCATCGACGGGGCTGTAGTGGAACAGGTTGAGAGCTTCAAGTTCCTTGGTGTCCACATCACCAACGAACTATCATGGTCCAAACACACCAAGACAGTCGTGAAGAGGGCACGACAAAGCCTATTCCCCCTCAGGAGACTAAAAAGATTTGGCATGGGTCCTCAGATCCTCAAAAAATTCTACAGCTGCACCATCGAGAGCATCCTGACTGGTTGCATCACCGCCTGGTATGGCAACTGCTTGGCCTCTGACCGCAAGGCACTACAGAGGGTAGTGCGTACGGCCCAGTACATCACTGGGGCAAAGCTCCCTGCCATCCAGGACCTCTATACCAGGCGGTGTCAGAGGAAGGCCCTCAAAATTGTCAAAGACTCCAGTCACCCTAGTCATAGACTGTTCTCTCTGCTACCGCACGGCAAGCGGTACCGGAGTGCCAAGTCTAGGTCCAAAAGACTTCTCAACAGCTTCTACCCCCAAGCCATAAGACTCCTGAACAGCTAATCATGGCTACCCGGACTATTTGCACTGCCCCCCCCACCCCATCCTTTTTACGCTGCTGCTACTCTGTTAAGTATTTATGCATAGTCACTTTAACTCTACCCACATGTACATATTACCTCAACTACCTCAACTAGCCGGTGCCCCCGCACATTGACTATGCAACGGTACCCCCCTGTATATATAGCCTCCCTACTGTCACTTTATTCTATTGTATATATAGCCTCCCTACGGTCACTTTATTTTTTACTTCTGCTCTTTTTTTCTCAACACTTTTTTGTTGTTGTTTTATTCTTACTTTTTTGTTTAAAATAAATGCACTGTTGGTTAAGGGCTGTAAGTAAGCATTTCACTGTAATGTCTGCACCTGTTGTATTCGGCGCATGTGACCAATAAAATTTGATTTGATTTGATTTGATTTGATTTGATTTGATTTGATTTGATTCCACTCACTCTACACACACATACTGGGAGGAATCCACTCACTCTACACACACATACTGGGAGGAATCCACTCACTCTACACACACATACTGGGAGGAATCCACTCACTCTACACACACATACTGGGAGGATTCCACTCACTCTACACACACATACTGGGAGGATTCCACTCACTCTACACACACATACTGGGAGGAATCCACTCACTCTACACACACATACTGGGAGGATTCCACTCACTCTACACACACATACTGGGAGGATTCCACTCACTCTACACACACATACTGGGAGGATTCCACTCACTCTACACACACATACTGGGAGGATTCCACTCACTCTACACACACATACTGGGAGGATTCCACTCACTCTACACACACATACTGGGAGGAATCCACTCACTCTACACACACATACTGGGAGGAATCCACTCACTCTACACACACATACTGGGAGGATTCCACTCACTCTACACACACATACTGGGAGGAATCCACTCACTCTACACACACATACTGGGAGGAATCCACTCACTCTACACACAAGTACAGTCAGCATTTGTGTTTTTGAGAGATGGATGTATTGTGTTAGTAGTAAATAATGCATTAGTCTCTCTCTCTCTCTCTCTCTCTCTCTCTCTCTCTCTCTCTCTCTCTCTCTCTCTCTCTCTCTCGCGCTCTCTCTCGCTTGTCTGTGTTCTACCCTGCTGGTTAGATGTTTGAGATGTATTAGTAGACACAGGCAGTGTGAATGTGTGTGAGCAACGTAGGTTACTCTGCATGGATGTGTCTCTTTTACCTTATGAATAATGGTAGTCTACAAAAATCATTCCCAGAACCACACATATGTAAAAAATTTATGCATGCATGACTGTAAGTCGCTTTGGATAAAAGCGTCTGCCAAATGGCAAATATTATATATTATTCCAATCCAATCTTTCCGATTAAAATGCAATGGCTGTTTAGCATATTGGTTGGATGCCTTTAGGACCATGCGAAGCATCATTTGGAGAGAAGCTGCCACCCTGTGCGCCTTTCTCTCACTTTAAGAAAGTAGAGAGAGAGACAGTGCCATACAGTTTGCTTTGCCGGTCAGCCATTTAGGCAGTGTGCCGATTGCTTTGAATATGATGTCTGCATTTGAACTGGGCCAGCTGTTTTATTCACCGGTTACTTTCACATTGATGTCGGCATAGGCGGTGCATCCAATAGGCTAGGGGAAGATAAGCTTCCCCCAAAGTAAATGTAATTACATTTTCCAAAATTAGCTATATAATCAAAATACTACACCAGAGAGCATGCTTCGGCCACAGAGGATCATTAGCTTCTTAAAAAAAGTAGCTGTGGATTGTTTTAAGCTCGCAATTTGGGCAGCGCTTGTGGCAAATAGCCTACCAAACAGCTGATTGTTGAGTTGCAGCGGTCAGTGAAAAGCACTTAAATATATTTGAAAATACAATTTTAGGAAAAACATAGTTTAAAAAGCAAATGGCTATTGCTGAAAAGAGAAGACTGTCTGGGCCGGCAGCCTTGAGAGGGTTAACATGCTTAAATGTCTTACTCACATCGGCCACGGAGAAGGAGAGCCCACAGTCCTTGGTAGCTGGCCGCATCGGTGGCACTGTGTTATCCTCAGAGCGGGCGAAAAAGGTGTTTAGCTTATCTGGAAGGCGGGGGAGTGCCTTGTAGGCATTTCGAAAAGTAGCAGTGGTCCAGTGTTTTCTCAGTGCGAGTGCTACGGTCAATGTGTTGGTAGAATTTCGGTAGGGTTTTCCTCCGATTTTCCTCCGATTAGCTTAAAATCCCCGGCTACAATAAATGCGGCCTCAGAATATGTGGTTTCCAGTTTGCATAGAGTCCAGTGTAGTTCTTTGAGGGCCGTCGTGGTGTCGGCTTGAGGGGGAATATACACGGCTGTGACTATAACCGAAGATAATTCTCTTGGGAGGTAAGAGATTGTGGGGTTTCTGTATGTTATCACAATCACACAATGAGTAGTTAATCATGAAGCATACCCCCCTGCCCTTCTTCTTCCCGGAGAGATCTTTATTTCTGTCTATGCGATGAACTGAGAACCCAACTGGCTGTACGGACTCAAACAGTATATCCCGAGAGAGCAATGTTTCCGTGAAACAGAGTATGTTACAATCCCTGATGTCTCTCTGGAAGGAGGTCCTCGCCCTGAGCTCATCAACTTTATTATCCAGAGACTGAACATTAGCGAGTGATATACTTGGAAGCAGTGGGTGGTGTGCACGCCTCCTGAGTCGGACACTTTGCCATACCCTAGGTTTAGCTGAACTGACACCACTGCTCCCCCCCCCCCCCCCCCCCCTCCCCTCCCTCCTCCCTCTCCCTCTCCCTCTCCCTCTCCCTCTCCCTCTCCCTCTCCCTCTCCCTCTCCCTCTCCCTCTTCCTCTCCCTCTCCCTCTCCCTCTCGTCTTACAGTAAATGCTCAGTAGATTGTCTTTTACCTCCAATCGGCGAACATGCTGTCTTTAAATTGGATTAAATCCTTAAATCACACAATCAATCATCCACAGCGTACTGTGCCAAGATGGCGGAGGCTGAGTGTGTTTCCTCATCTGTCTTAAAGATGTCTTAAAGATGGCATAGCGGCAGATAGCAGGGCTGCTACATTTACATTTACATGTTAGTCATTTAGCAGACACTCTTATCCAGAGCCATTTACAGTTAGTGCATTCACCTTAAGATAGCTAGGTTGGACAACCACATATCTCAGTCATACACTAGGAAGTAGCTATCAGCAAAGTCAGTGCTAGTAAGTGGGAAAAAAGTCAAGTGTGAGTTCAGGAATGGCAAGGATGGGCTTTTTTAATGTATATAAAGTACCAGTCAAAAGTTTGGACACACCAACTCATTCAAGGGTTTTTCTTTATTTTTTACTATTTTCTACATGACAACAGCAGGCAAGCGGTGTGTGTGTGTCTTCGTACGTGTGTGTGTCAAACACACAAACAACAGGTGTAGACAGTGAAATGAAATGCTTACTTACGGGTGTTTTTACAACAATGAAGAGTTAAAGATCAAGATTTTTAAAGATTTTTAAATGTAAATAGTGACACAAGGAATAAATACTCAGTGATTAACAAATAACAATAATGAGTAAAAATAACATGGCACCAGTAATTGAGGTAGCTATGTACATATACAGTGGGGGAAAAAAAGTATTTAGTCAGCCACCAATTGTGCAAGTTCTCCCACTTAAAAAGATGAGAGAGGCCTGTAATTTTCATCATAGGTACACGTCAACTATGACAGTCAAATTGAGGAAAAAAAATCCAGAAAATCACATTGTAGGATTTTTAATGAATTTATTTGCAAATTATGGTGGAAAATAAGTATTTGGTCACCTACAAACAAGCAAGATTTCTGGCTCTCACAGACCTGTCACTTCTTCTTTAAGAGGCTCCTCTGTCCTCCACTCGTTACCTGTATTAATGGCACCTGTTTGAACTTGTTATCAGTATAAAAGACACCTGTCCACAACCTCAAACAGTCACACTCCAAACTCCACTATGGCCAAGACCAAAGAGCTGTCAAAGGACACCAGAAACAAAACTGTAGACCTGCACCAGGCTGGGAAGACTGAATCTGCAATAGGTAAGCAGCTTGGTTTGAAGAAATCAACTGTGGGAGCAATTATTAGGAAATGGAAGACATACAAGACCACTGATAATCTCCCTCGATCTGGGGCTCCACGCAAGATCTCACCCCGTGGGGTCAAAATGATCACAAGAACGGTGAGCAAAAATCCCAGAACCACACGGGGGGACCTAGTGAATGACCTGCAGAGAGCTGGGACCAAAGTAACAAAGCCTACTATCAGTAACACACTACGCCGCCAGGGACTCAAATCCTGCAGTGCCAGACGTGTCCCCCTGCTTAAGCCAGTACATGTCCAGGCCCGTCTGAAGTTTGCTAGAGTGCATTTTGATGATCCAGAAGAGGATTGGGAGAATGTCATATGGTCAGATGAAACCAAAATAGAACTTTTTGGTAAAAACTCAACTCGTCGTGTTTGGAGGACAAAGAATGCTGAGTTGCATCCAAAGAACACCATACCTACTGTGAAGCATGGGGGTGGAAACATCATGCTTTGGGGCTGTTTTTTCTGCAAAGGGACCAGGACGACTGATCCGTGTAAAGGAAAGAATGAATGGGGCCATGTATCGTGAGATTTTGAGTGAAAACCTCCTTCCATCAGCAAGGGCATTGAAGATGAAACGTGGCTGGGTTTTCAGCATGACAATGATCCCAAACACACCGCCCGGGCAACGAAGGAGTGGCTTCGTAAGAAGCATTTCAAGGTCCTGGAGTGGCCTAGCCAGTCTCCAGATCTCAACCCCATAGAAAATCTTTGGAGGGAGTTGAAAGTCCGTGTTGCCCAGCGACAGCCCCAAAACATCACTGCTGTAGAGGAGATCTGCATGGAGGAATGGGCCAAAATACCAGCAACAGTGTGTGAAAACCTTGTGAAGACTTACAGAAAACGTTTGACCTGTGTCATTGCCAACAAAGGGCATATAACAAAGTATTGAGAAACTTTTGTTATTGACCAAATACTTATTTTCCACCATAATTTGCAAATAAATTCATTAAAAATCCTACAATGTGATTTTCTGGATTTGTTTTTCTCATTTTGTCTGTCATAGTTGACGTGTACCTATGATGAAAATTACAGGCCTCTCTCATCTTTTTAAGTGGGAGAACTTGCACAATTGGTGGCTGACTAAATACATTTTTTCCCCACTGTAGGTAGGGGTAAAGTGACTAGGCAACAGGATAGATACAGTGCCTTCAGAAAGTATTCACACCCCTTGAATTTTCCACATTTTGTTGTGTTGCAGGCTAAATTTAAAATTGATTAAATTTAGATTTTGTGTTACTGTCCTACACACAATACCACATAATGTCAAAGTGGAATTAAGTTTTTGGAAATTTCAATTTGTTTTATAAAAATTGAAAAGCTGAAATGTCTTGAGTCAATAAGTATTCAACCCCTTTTTTATGGCAAGCCTAAATAAATTCAGGAGTAAAACAAAGACCAGGGAGGTTTTCCAATGCCTCGCAAAAGGCACCTATTGGTAGATGGGTAAAAAAAATAAAAGCAGAAAATGAATATCCCTTTGAGAATGGTGAAGTTATTAATTACACTTTGGATGGTGTATCAATACACCCAGTCTCTACAAAGATACAGGCGTCCTTCCTAACTCAGTTGTTGGAGAGGAAGGTACCACTCAGGGATTTCACAATGAGGTCAATGGTGACATTAAAACAGTTACAGAGTTTAATGGCTGTGATAGGACAAAACTGAGGATAGATCAACAACATTGTAGTTACACCACAATACTAACCTAAATGACCGAGTGAAAAGAAGGAAGCCTGTACAGAATAAAAAATATTCCAAAACATGCATCCTGTTTGCAATAAGACACTAAAGTAAAACTGCAAAAATGTGGCAAAGAAGCAAACTTTATGTCCTGAATACAAAGCGTTATGTTTGGGGCAAATCCAACACAACACATCACTGAGTACCACTCTTCGTATTTTCAAGCATGGTGGTGGATGCATTACATGTTACATTTTTATATTTTAGTAATTTAGCAGTAGTGAGTGCATACATTATTGTACTTTTTCATACTGGTTCCCCGTGGGAATCGAACCCACAACCCTGCATCATGTTTTGGGAATGCTTCTCATGGGCAAGGGAGTTTTTTGGGGGGAATAAAAATAAACAGAATAGAGTGAAGCACAGGCAAATTCCTAGAGGAAAACCTGGTTCAGTCTGCTTTCCACCAGACACTATGAGACAAATTCACCTTTCAGCAGGATAATAACCTAAAACACAAGGCTAAATATACACTGAAGTTGCTTACCAAGATGACATTGAATTTTCCTGAGTAGCCTAGTTACGGTTTTGACTTAAATCGTCTTGAAAACCAATGGCAAGACTTGAAAATAGCTGTCTAGCAATGATCAACAACCAACTTACATTTACATTTTACATTTTAGTCATTTAGCAGACGCTCTTATCCAGAGCGACTTACAGGAGCAATTAGGGTTAAGTGCCTTGCTCAAGGGCACATTAACGTCATTTAGCAGACGCTCTTAGCCAGAGCGACTCACAAATTGGTGCGTTCACCCTATAGCCAGTGGGATAACCACTTTACAATTTTTTTTGGGGGGGGGGGGGGGTAGAAGGATTACTTTATCCTATCCCAGGTATTCCTTAAAGAGGTGGGGTTTCAAATGTATCCGGAAGGTGGTGAGTGACTCCGCTGTCCTGGCGTCGTGAGGGAGCTTGTTCCACCATTGGGGTGCCAGAGCAGCGAACAGTTTTGACTGGGCTGAGCGGGAACTATGCTTCCGCAGAGGAAGGGGAGCCAGCAGGCCAGAGGTGGATGAACGCAATGCCCTCGTTTGGGTGTAGGGACTGATCAGAGCCCGAAGGTACAGAGGTGCCGTTCCCCTCACTGCTCCATAGGCAAGCACCATGGTCTTGTAGCGGATGCGAGCTTCAACTGGAAGCCAGTGGAGTGTGCAGAGGAGGGGGGTGACGTGAGAGAACTTGGGAAGGTTGAACACCAGACGGGCTGCGGCATTCTGGATGAGTTGTAGGGGTTTAATGGCACAGGCAGGGAGGCCAGCCAGCAGCGAGTTGCAGTAGTCCAGACGGGAGATGACAAGTGCCTGGATTAGGACCTGTGCCGCTTCCTGTGTAAGGCAGGGTCGTACTCTTCGAATGTTGTAGAGCATGAACCTGCAGGAGCGGGTCACCGCCTTGATGTTGGCGGAGAACGACAGGGTGTTGTCCAGGGTCACGCCTAGGCTCTTCGCACTCTGGGAGGAGGACACAGCGGAGTTGTCAACCGTGATGGCGAGATCATGGAACGGGCAGTCCTTCCCCGGGAGGAAGAGCAGCTCCGTCTTGCCAGGGTTCAGCTTGAGGTGGTGATCCGTCATCCATACTGATATGTCTGCCAGACATGCAGAGATGCGATTCGCCACCTGGTTATCAGAAGGGGGAAAGGAGAAGATTAGTTGTGTATCGTCAGCGTAGCAATGATAGGAGAGGCCATGTGAGGATATGACAGAGCCAAGTGACTTGGTGTATAGGGAGAAAAGGAGAGGGCCTAGAACTGAGCCCTGGGGGACACCAGTGGTGAGAGCACGTGGTGCGGAGACAGCTTCTCGCCACGCCACTTGGTAGGAGCGACCGGTCAGGTAGGACGCAATCCAGGAGTGAGCCGCGCCGGAGATGCCCAGCTCGGAGAGGGTGGAGAGGAGGATCTGATGGTTCACAGTATCAAAGGCAGCAGACAGGTCTAGAAGGACAAGAGCAGAGGAGAGAGAGTTAGCTTTAGTAGTGCGGAGAGCCTCCGTGACACAGAGAAGAGCAGTCTCAGTTGAATGACCAGTCCTGAAACCTGACTGGTTTGGATCAAGAAGGTCATTCTGAGAGAGATAGCAAGAGAGTTGGCTAAAGACGGCACGCTCAATAGTTTTGGAAAGAAAAGAAAGAAGGGATACTGGTCTGTAGTTGTTGACATCAGTGGGATCGAGTGTTGGTTTTTTGAGAAGGGGAGCAACTCTCGCTCTCTTGAAGACGGAAGGGACATGGCCAGCGGTCAAGGATGAGTTGATCAGCGAGGTGAGGTAGGGGAGAAGGTCACCGGAGATGGTCTGGAGAAGAGAGGAGGGGATGGGGTCAAGCGGGCAGGTTGTTGGGCGGCCTGCAGTCACAAGTCGCAGGATATTATCTGGAGAGAGAGGGGAGAAAGAAGTCAAAGCATAGGGTAGGGCAGTGTGAGTAGGACCAGCAGTGTCATTAGACTTAACAAACGAGGATCGAATGTCGTCAACCTTCTTTTCAAAGTGGTTGACGAAGTCATCCACAGAGAGAGAGGAGGGGGGGGGGGGGGGGGGGGGGGGGAGGATTCAGCAGGGAGGAAAATGTGGCTGTCACACTCTGGTTCTAGGACTTTTTGTGTTTAGTCAGGGTGTGTAGATTTCCGTGTGTTGTGTACTGTGGGTAGTGTCTAGGTGTTCGCGTTCTATGTTTGGTCAGTGACTCCCAATCGGAGGTAACGAGTGTCAGCTGTCGGCTCGTTATCTCTGATTGGGAGCCATATTTAAATGTCTGTGTTCACCTTGTGGTTGTGGGTTTTTGTTCATTGTTCAGTAGTTGTCACTGAGGACTTCACGGATCGTGTTTTGGTTTGTCGTGTGTTTCAAAATTAAAATCATCATGTTCACTCCCAACGCTGCGCTTTGGTCATACTTCATTGGCGATCGTGACAGAAAAACCCACCACAACGAGACCAAGCAGCAGTTGGATAACGAGTGGTGGAGCCAGAAGAGCGAAGGTTGGGAGAGGACTATGGAGGCCTGGTCCACCGAGAGGAGAGACCCCCAGAAAATTTTTAGGGGGGGGCTCACGACGTCGGGGCAGAAGGTGTACGGCCCGGAGGAGTGCAAGAGGTTGGCAGATATGGCCGCCAGTTTAAGGGGGCCACTGGTTACGAAGGGGATGGAAAGTGTGGAGGCACGGCGAGAGGTACTGGGGGGTGTTTCCAGTCCGGTCCGGCCCGTTCCTGATCCCCGTGTAGGGCCAGGGGTGTGTGTCCCCAGTGCGGTTCTGTCTGTCCCTGCTCAACGCACCAAGCCTACGGGGTGCGTCGCCAGCCCAGCTCGGCCTGTTCCTGCGCCCCGCACCAAGTCTGTGGTGCGTTTCGCCAGCCCAGCCCGGCCTGTCCCTGCTCAACGCACCGAGCCTACGGGGTGCGTCGTCAGCCCTGTCCAGCCAGAGCCGTCCGCCAGACAGGATCAGCCAGAGCCTTCCGCCAGACAGGATCAGCCAGAGCCTTCCACCAGCCATGAGCAGCCAGATCCTTCCGCCAGCCATGAGCAGCCAGATCCGTCAGCCAGCCATGAGCAGCCAGATCCGTCAGCCATCCATGAGCAGCCAGATCCGTCAGCCAGCCATGAGCAGCCAGATCCGTCAGCCAGCCATGAGCCGTCCAGCCAGGATCCGCCAGAGCCGTCCAGCCAGGATCCGCCAGAGCCGTCCAGCCAGGATCCGCCAGAGCCGTCCAGCCAGGATCCGCCAGAGCCGTCCAGCCGGGATCCGCCAGAGCCTTCCAGCCGGGATCCGCCAGAGCCTTCCAGCCAGGATCCGCCAGAGCCGTCCAGCCAGGATCCGCCAGAGCCGTCCAGCCAGGATCCGCCAGAGCCTTCCAGCCGGGATCCGCCAGAGCCGTCCAGCCGGGATCCGCCAGAGCCGTCCAGCCGGGATCCGCCAGAACCGTCCAGCCGGGATCCGCCAGAGCCGTCCAGCCGGGATCCGCCAGAGCCGTCCAGCCGGGATCCGCCAGAGCCGTCCAGCCAGGATCCACGCACCAAGCCAGGGGCGCGTGTCGTCAGTCCGGTTCCGGCCAGCGGGGCTAGGCAGGACCAGGGGTACTTTGGGGGGTTGGAGAGGAAGTGGGGAGGAAGCCCGGAGCCGGAGCCGCCGCCGAGGAGGAATGCCCACCCAGCCCTCCCCTGTTTGCTTGTAGTTAGGCGCGGTCGCAGTCCGCGCCTTTGGGGGGGGGGTACTGTCACACTCTGGTTCTAGGACTTTTTGTGTTTAGTCAGGGTGTGGAGATTTCCGTGTGTTGTGTACTGTGGGTAGTGTCTAGGTGTTCGCGTTCTATGTTTGGTCAGTGACTCCCAATCGGAGGTAACGAGTGTCAGCTGTCGGCTCGTTATCTCTGATTGGGAGCCATATTTAAATGTCTGTGTTCACCTTGTGGTTGTGGGTTTTTGTTCATTGTTCAGTAGTTGTCACTGAGGACTTCACGGATCGTGTTTTGGTTTGTCGTGTGTTTCAAAATTAAAATCATCATGTTCACTCCCAACGCTGCGCTTTGGTCATACTTCATTGGCGACCGTGACAGTGGCAAAGAGCTTCCTAGGGTTAGAGGCAGATGCTTGGAATTTAGAGTGGTAGAAAGTGGCCTTAGCAGCAGAAACAGATGAAGAAAATGTAGAGAGGAGGGAGTGAAAAGATGCCAGGTCTAGCTAGCTAGCCTCGTGCTTCGCCGGGCTCCTACAGAAGAATAAAGTGCAAATATTGTACAATCCAGGTGTGCAAAGCGCTTAGACTTACCCAGAAAGACTCAGAGCTGTAATCGCTGCCAACGGTGATTCTAACATGTATTGACTTAAGGGTGTGAATACTCATGTAAATGAGATATTTCTGTATTTCATTTTCAATAAATGTGCAAAAATTTATAAAAACATGTTTTCACTTTGTCATTATGGGGTATTGTGTATAGATGGATGAGAAAAAAATAAATATTTAATTAATTTAGAATTCAGCCTGTCAAACAACAAAATGTGGAATAAGTCAAGGGGTATGAATACTTTCTGAAGGCACAGTAATAGACAGTAGCAGCAGCATATGTGATGAGTGTGAATGTGTCAGCGTTTGCTTAGGCGTCACGCGCCGCTGAAACGTGGATATCGCGCCATGCCGCTGTGGGTACACCCTCACACACACCTTGGAGGAAATGAGTTTGGCTGGCGTGTGTGGATGGTGGTCAGGTTATATGTCATAGTGTTGGCCAGCGTGGTGGAAGGAGATCCACATGGGCCAGATCTACACCGTCACTACTCTTGTCAGATGGTCATCTCTCTGTATTACTGTGTGTATTTACTCATATGTGTGTGTTCCATAATCTTGTGCCCTACTTTACCCAGCCCTAGTATCCCTCTAACCTTTCAAAGTGGCAAATTGCTTCAGAACTTCTCTAATAAAAAATCTATGAAAACATAGACGGATTAAAAGGTTTAATTCAGGTTGGTTGGATATTATTACTGATTAAACATTTCCCAGTGTGTATTCCTGGGGGAGATATTCACTTAAAGCTACGCTAGCTCAGCTATCCCGCTCCACATTACCTGATTACCTCTCCCACCTGATTACCTGTCTTGCCCTGGAAAAAACATAGGAACTCAGTCTGGCGTATTCAAATGAGCCCGTCCCGACGCATTCTTCTTCTTCAGTTTGGGGAAATCAAGCCTTTTTCCTTACTGGGTGAAATGAAGCGACTTCGAACATGACTTTGGATATGGTAATTCAGAATATACCTGTGAATATAGCCCCGATATCCTTAAAATTATGACAGGACTTTTGACAGGTGAATTTGGAGAAGTTTTATGAAACTGAATCGAACTTGCAGAAGTTTCAAAGTGATGACAGGGTGTTTTTCCCTGGTCTACGACAGTCACCATATTAGGGAGTATGATGGAAACAGTCACTCGTGGCTCCAAGCAAAGTTGGCATGTGTTTAAGTTGGTAACTCTTCACTGCATCCAAAGAGGCATAGACCTCACAGAAGAGCTTGAATGTTTTGACCCCCATGATATTTCTGGTTGAGGAGTTAGTGGTCTGGTCTGTGTGTTTGTTTGGTAAAAATAGTCTTTGTTTCACAGTCTGTACCTCTCAGCAGATAATACTAAAGTAGTAGAGGGGGAATGGAGAGAAAGGTCAAGTGACGGGGGTGGGGGTCACAATGCCCCTCTCTGTGAGGGACGAGGGGGGTGACCTTTGAAGGCATGACATGGTTCGGTCTTTCAGGAGCGCCATGCCATTGTTGTGGGGAGCAGACTGTGTAGGCGAATGGTTTGAGATGCTACAGCGGGAAACAGGCAGCCAGTCAGACAGGAAGGCAGGCAATCTGACAGGAAGTGTGACATGTGAATGGGATTCCTGGTCTCTATGCAAGCCACCATGTTGGCCAATGGTCTCTATGTTGCTCCTGCAAGCCACCATGTTGGCCAATGGTTCTACTGAAGGAAAGGTCTTGTTGACTAGCATCTAGGACTCTGGTGGTCAGCCCTGATCCTCATGGAGAGAGGCAGTGTGTGCAGACCAGGGCTTCATAGTGTAGAAAAAGCCTGCACACCCAGTAGCTAGGTCTTCTCCTATCCCTCATCCCTCCCTCCACCAATCATTTTCTCCTTCCACTCCTTTTAATCAACAACTTTTTCTGATGTACATTCCTTGTGTTTAAGACCATAAACCCACGAGGGTTGATAACCGAAGTCAGAAACACACACATTTCTCAACATTTTTTTTTGCCAACTGCTTCTCAAGGCCTTTCAGTGGAACAAAGAGGCCTTTCATTAGCTATGCTAATCTGAGCACACACACTCTCTAACACGCAAATACACACACACGAATGCAGACACACACTCTGACACGCATATACACACACATACTCACTCTCTCTCACTCTCTCTCTCAAACAGAGGATGCAACAGTGTTTCTCCTGCCTCAATCATTCTCTTTAGTGTTTGCTTTTGTCTTTCTCTATAAACCAGGGTTTCATCCTGGTCCTTGCCACTTCAGAGGGTTAATGTGCTCTGTATTCTTGTGTGTCTGACCCCTATACTATTCTATCCTACGTATTCTTCAGATAGGCTACATATTCTATCCACATACTGTCCATAATGTCTATATATCCGATCACATATATACTAAGAAAAAATATAAACGCTACATGTAAAGTGTTGGTCCCATGTTTCATAAGCTGAAATAAAAGATCCCAGAAATGTTCTATATGCACAAAAAGCTTATTTCTCTCAAATGTTGTGCACAGATTTGTTTACATCGCTGTTATTGAGCATTTCTTCTTTGCCAAGATAAACCATCCACCTGACAGATGTGACATATCAAAAAGCTGATTAAACAGCATGATCATTACACAGGTGCACCTTGTGATAGGGTACAATAAAAGGCCACTCTAAAATGTGCAGTTTTGTCACACAACACAATGCCACAGATGTCTCATATTTTGAGGGAGCGTTTAATTGGCATGCTGAGTGCAGGAATGTCCACCAGAGCTATTGCCAGAGAATTTAATGTTAATTTCTCTACCATAAGCTGCCTCCAACGTCATTTTAGAGTATGTCCTACCAGCCTCACAACCGCAGACCACGTGTAACCATGCCAGCCCAGGACCTCCACATCCGGCTTCTTCACCTGCGGGATGAGACCAGCCACCAGACAGCAGATGAAATTGTGGGTTTGCATAACTGAAGTCCTCTTGCATAGTTGTGCACCGGGGCCTCCCACTCCTCTTTCTATTCTGGTTAGAGCCTGTTTGCACTGTTCTGTGAAGGGAGTAGTACACAGCATTGTACAAGATCTTCAGTTTCTTGGCAATTTCTCGCATGGAATAGCCTTCATTTCATTTCTCAGAACAAGAATAGACTGACGAGTTTCAGAAGAAAGTTATTTGTTTCTGGCCATTTTGAGTCAGTAATCAAACCCACAATTGCTGATGATACTCAACTAGTCTCAAGAAGGCCAGTTTTATTGCTTCTTATAATCAGCACACCAGTTTTCAGGGTTTTCTAATGATCAATTAGCCTTTTAAAATGATAAACTTGGATTAGCAAACACAACGTGCCATTGGAACACAGGACTGATGGTTGCTGATAATGTGCCTCTGTACGCCTATGTACAGTTGAAGTTGGAAGTTTACATACACCTTAGCCAAATACATTTAAACTCAGTTTTTCACAATTCCTGACATTTAATCCTAGTAAAACTTCCCTGTCTTAGGTCAGTTAGGATCACCACTTTATTTTAAGAATGTAAAATGTCAGAATAATAGTAGAGAGAATGATTTATTTTAGCTTTTATTTCTTTCATCACATTCCAATTGGGTCAGACGTTTACATACACTCAATTAGTATTTGGTAGCATTGCCTTTAAATTGTTTAACTTGGGTCAAACGTTTCAGGTAGCCTTCCACAAGCTTCCCACAATAAGTTGGGTGAGTTTTGACCCATTCCTCCTGACAGAGCTGGTGTAACTGAGTCAGGTTTTTAAGCCTCCTTCCTCGCACACTCTTTTTCAGTTCTGCCCATAAATGTTCTATAGGATTGAGGTCAGGGCTTTGTGATGGCCACTCCAATACCTTGACTTTGTTGTCCTTAAGCCATTTTGCCACAACTTTGGAAGTATGCTTGGGGTCATTGTCCATTTGGAAGACCCATTTGCGACCAAGTTTTAACTTCCTGACTGATTGCTTCAATATATCCACATAATTTTCCTTCCTCATGATGCCATCTATTTTGTGAAGTGCACCAGTCCCTCCTGCAGCAAAGCACCCCCACAGCATGATGCTGCCACCCCTGTGCTTCACGGTTGGGATGGTGTTCTTCGGCTTGCAAGCGACCCCCTTTTTCCTCCAAACATAACGATGGTCATTATGGCCAAACAGTTCTATTTTTGTTTCACCAGATCAGAGGACATTTCTCCAAAAAGTACAATCTTTGTCCCCATGTGCAGTTGCAAACCGTAGTCTGGCTTTTTTATGGCGGTTTTGGAGCTGTGGCTTCTTCCTTGCTGAGCGGCCTTTCAGGTTATGTTAATATAGGACTTGTTTTACTGTGGATATAGATATTTTTGTACCTGTTTCCTCCAGCATCTTCACAAGGTCCTTTGCTGTTGTTCTTGGATTGATTTGTACTTTTCGCACCAAAGTACGTTCATCTCTAGGAGACAGAAGGCGTGTCCTTCCTGAGCGGTATGACGGCTGCGTGGTCCCATGGTGTTTATACTTGCGTACTATTGTTTGTACAGATGAACGTGGTACCTTCAGGCCTTTGGAAATTGCTCCCAAGGATGAACCAGACTTGTGGAGGTCTACAATTTTTTTTCCTGAGGTCTTGGTTGATTACTTTTGATTTTCCCATGTCAAGCAAAGAGGCACTGAGTTTGAAGGTAGGCTTTGAAATACATCCACAGGTACACCTCCAATTGACTCAAATTATGTCAATTAGCCTATAGCTTCTATAGACATGACATCATTTTCTGGAATTTTCCAAGCTGTTTAAAGGCACAGTCAACTTAGTGTATGTAAACTTCTGACCCACTGGAATTGTGATACAGTGAAGGAGACTGGAGAAGGTCTATATGGAGGAGTGGGCCAAAATCCCTGCTGCAGTGTGTGCAAACCTGGTCAAGACCTACAGGAAACGTATGATCTCTGTAATTGCAAACAAAGGTTTCTGTACCAAATATTAAGTTCTGCTTTTCTGAAGTATCAAATACTTACAGTGGGGGAAAAAGTATTTAGTCAGCCACCAATTGTGCAAGTTCTCCCACTTAAAAAGATGAGAGAGGCCTGTAATTTTCATCATAGGTACATGTCAACTATGACAGACAAATTGAGGAAAAAAAATCCAGGAAATCACATTGTAGGATTTTTTATGAATTTATTTGCAAATTATGGTGGAAAATAAGTATTTGGTCAATAACAAACGTTTCTCAATACTTTGTTATATACCCTTTGTTGGCAATGACACAGGTCAAACGTTTTCTGTAAGTCTTCACAAGGTTTTCACACACTGTTGCTGGTACTTTTGGCCCATTCCTCCATGCAGATCTCCTCTAGAGCAGTGATGTTTTGGGGCTGTCGCTGGGCAACACGGACTTTCAACTCCCTCCAAAGATTTTCTATGGGGTTGAGATCTGGAGACTGGCTAGGCCACTCCAGGACCTTGAAATGCTTCTTACGAAGCCACTCCTTCGTTGCCCGGGCGGTGAGTTTGGGATCATTGTCATGCTGAAAGACCCAGCCACGTTTCATCTTCAATGCCCTTGCTGATGGAAGGAGGTTTTCACTCAAAATCTCACGATACATGGCCCCATTCATTCTTTCCTTTACACGGATCAGTCGTCCTGGTCCCTTTGCAGAAAAACAGCCCCAAAGCATGATGTTTCCACCCCCATGCTTCACAGTAGGTATGGTGTTCTTTGGATGCAACTCAGCATTCTTTGTCCTCCAAACACGACGAGTTGAGTTTTTACCAAAAAGTTATATTTTGGTTTCATCTGACCATATGACATTCTCCCAATCTTCTTCTGGATCATCCAAATGCACTCTAGCAAACCTCAGGATTTGAGTCCCTGGCGGCGTAGTGTATTACTGATGGTAGGCTTTGTTACTTTGGTCCCAGCTCTCTGCAGGTCATTCACTAGGTCCCCCCGTGTGTTTCTGGGATTTTTGCTCACCGTTCTTGTGATCATTTTGACCCCACGGGGTGAGATCTTGCGTGGAGCCCCAGATCGAGGGAGATTATCAGTGGTCTTGTATGTCTTCCATTTCCTAATAATTGCTCCCACAGTTGATTTCTTCAAACCAAGCTGCTTACCTATTGCAGATTCAGTCTTCCCAGCCTGGTGCAGGTCTACAATTTTGTTTCTGGTGTCCTTTGACAGCTCTTTGGTCTTGGCCATAGTGGAGTTTGGAGTGTGACTGTTTGAGGTTGTGGACAGGTGTCTTTTATACTGATAACAAGTTCAAACAGGTGCCATTAATACAGGTAACGAGTGGAGGACAGAGGAGCCTCCTAAAGAAGAAGTGACAGGTCTGTGAGAGCCAGAAATCTTGCTTGTTTGTAGGTGACCAAATACTTATTTTCCACCATAATTTGCAAATAAATGTATTAAAAATCCTACAATGTGATTTTCTGTTTTTTTTTCCTCAATTTGTCAGTCATAGTTTACGTGTACCTATGATGAAAATTACAGGCCTCTCTCATCTTTTTAAGTGGGAGAACTTGCACAATTGGTGGCTGACTAAATACTTTTTTCCCCCACTGTATATATACTCCGGACTCCGACATTGCTCGTCCTAATATTTCTATATTTCTTAATTTCATTATTTTACTTTTAGATTTGTGTTTATTGTTGTTTATTGTTAGATATTACTGCACCGTTGGAGCTAGGAACACAAACGTTTCTGCTAAATATGTGAATGCAACCAATAACATTTTATTTTATTTTGAACTCCCTCCACACTTCCCAAGGCCGTTTGTTGTTTCTCCTCTCCTCTCCTCCTCTCCTCTCCTCTCCTATCTCTCCTCTCCGCTCCTCTCCTCTCCTCTCCTCTCCTCTCCTCTCAGTCTATGATCGCTGTCACCTCTGACCCCCCTGTTCCTACAGTAGCCACCGGAATTGTGTGCATTTCAAGTGTCAATAGAAACACTTTACCTGAACCCAGCCCAGCCCACTCACTCAACTGTGTTTGCATCTGCAGGCCTTTTCCAAATAAGGGGTTTTTCAAAAGCTTTGTTTTGATTGTTTGGTACTGGTGAATGATATAATAAAATGGTGGATATATTAGCAGGGATAGAAGGCCATCATTTCCTCATGCTAAAGAGCACTGAATTCTATAGAACAGTCAAATGTATAATGTTCAATACTAACGCTCTAGAATACATTCCTGTTTAGCAAGCTGCTCTAGTTGTCATCGTTATGCCTCCAGCTAAATATTGTGTGTTTTCCATCTAACTTCCAATTCATATAGACACATACACACACACACACACATGTTCTCTGGAGTGATGAATCACGCTTCACCATCTGGCAGTCCGACGGACGAATCTGGGTTTGGCGGATCCCAGGAGAACGCTACCTGCCCGAATGCATAGTGCCAACTGTAAAATTTGGTGGAGGAGGAATCTGGGGCTGTTTTTCATGGTTCGGGCTAGGCCCCTTAGTTCCAGTGAAGGGAAATCTTAAAGCAAGTCCCCGCAGCAAATTTCCAACATCTAGTGGAAAGCCTTCCCAGAAGAGTGGAGGCTGTTATAGCAGCAAAGGGGGGACCAACTCCATATTAATGCCCATGATTTTGGAATGAGAAGTTTGACGAGCAGGTGTCCACATACTTTTGATCGTGTAGTGTATTTGCCCAATCTAACAGCACACCAGAGGACAGAGAGTGACCAATCGAAAAGCACGTCACTGGAAAGGACAAAGGATTACCCAATCAAATTACACCTTGCAGCATATGTTGCACTGTAGCACCACATCAGAGAGGGTTAATGTGGACTAAATGGTGTTGATGTCTGTTCTCCAAACTAAACACACTTCATGCTATTCAGTTACAGTTAATCACCAGAAAATCGATTACTCTTTAATGTGATACACACACACACACACACACACACACACACACACACATACACACTCTCTCTCTCTCTCTCTCTCTCTGTCTTTATATCACAGTCTAGTCATTAGAGTCAGTTACTACGTGTTAGAGAATGTTGTTTACCACCATGAGATGAACCACAGAACGAATCAACCTACCGCCTTCATCTATTAACATGATCTACAAGGTCGATAGAGCCTGCTGGGATAATTTCTATAGGAAAGTGATTGTGTGTGTCTGTGTGTGTGTGTCTGACCGTCTGTGTGTGTGTGTGTGTGTGTCTGTGTCCGTGTATGTGTGTGTGTGTTTGTGTGAATTAAAATCCCCCTCATCCCAACCTTCACACTCCTCCATTTTGAATGAAGCCGGTGGTTAAAAATGGTGTTCTTTACACATGTAATTATGTCTTTATTGATTTGTCAGCATCTCTGCCAGGGAATGGTACCTCTTGAAATAGCTCCTGCTATGATAACTTGTCTCTATTACAATCACCAGAGGAAGTCATTAGACGCCCTTAGGGAATGTGAGGACAGGAGTGTGTGTGTGTGTGTGTGTGTGTGCATGTGCATGTGCGTGTGTGTGTGTGAATGTGTGGTGTTAATACAACATATATTTTCTCTGATGGCTCTGCTGTCTTCGATGTGGGGGACGAGGGGAAACTTGATCTTGTATTGAAAGATGGCTGACTTTTTTTCTCTCTCGCTCTCTCTCTGTCTCTCTCTGTCTCTCTCTCTCTGTATCTCACTCACTCTCTCTCTCCCTCACTCTCTATCTATCCCTCTCTCTCTCTCTGTATCTCACTCTCTCTCACTCACTCTGTCTCTCTTTCTCTTGCTCTCTATCTGACTCTCTCTCACTCTGTTCTCCCTTTTCTCTCTCTCTCACTCTCACTCTCCCTCTCTCTGTCCCTCTCTCGCTCTCTCTGTCTCTCAGGCTGCTAGGTCTGGTGGAAGATGAGGCCTCCTATCCCTCTCCTGATTCTGCTGTACGTCACCCTGTCCCGCAGCATGAAGACAGTCTCCAAGAGAGGCTCAGGTATATACACATAACTTCCTCTTCCTCTATCTACTTTCTGTTTCCTGTGGCCCCCTGTGTTGGGAGATTGGGCGTTGTGTTTTGTCTCTGTGTGTGTGTGTCTCCTCTGGCCTTGATAAAAGACATGGAGCTGAAGTAATTAAGGGCATTCCCTTTCCCCATTTCTCTGTCTGAGTCAATCTTATTCACTAGATGTCTGATGAGGTTTTTAAATGTGGACTTGACATATTTGGTGAATGGATGGAGCATGATTACCTGCCTGCTATCTGAATTTTAAACATGACTGATATACTGAATTACACATTTCAGAGCTAGCTAGCGTTCCCCCCTATAGCCTTAAAGTTATCTGGACAGAGATTCCTACTAGAGGCGGGTCTTTACCAGGTAAAGTACTGAGTTGACCGGCTGTGGTCAGACGAGTGTAAAATTTGCTACACTGCAGTGTGTGTGGGGGTTATCTCTTTCTTGAGTTATTGATATGTTCCCTTCATCGATTGCGTTTGTGTCTGTGTGTGTCTGTGATAAGGCTTACGTGACATTAGCATTTCTAGGTATTTAGTGTGTGTGTGTGTGTGTGTGTGTGTGGAATTTTGGAAACTTGTTTTTAGTTATTTTATTATGTCTTTGTAAACGTAAAACTCAATAGTTGGAAGAGTTGCAGAGTTAATCGCAAATGATGTCATTGATTAGATGCTTTTAAAATTAATTAGGCACGTTTTTCTTAAACCATATGGTCTTTCCCCTAGAAACTCAAGGATAATATGGACACATGAATGTACAAAACATTAAGAACACCTGCTCTTTCTATGACATAGACTGACCAGGTGAATGCTATGATCCCTTATTGATGTCACTTGTTAAATCCACATCAATCAGTGTAGATGAAGGGGAGACAGGTTAACAAAGTATGTTTATGCCTTGAAACATGGATTGTGTATGTTTTTTGTTGTTGACATTTACATTTTAGAAGACACTCTTATCCAGAAAGACTTACAGTAGAAATTAGGGTTAAGTGCCTTGCTCAAGGGCACACCAATAAAATATTTAAGTGCCTTTGAACGGAGTATGGGGTAGATGCCAGGCGAATCGGTTTGTTTCAAGAACTGCAACGCTGCTGGGTTTTTCACGCTCAACAGTTTCCCATGTATATCAAGAATGGTCCACCACCCAAAGGACATCCAGCCAACTTGACACAACTGTGGAAAGCATTGGAGTGAACATGGGCCAGCATCCCTGTGAAACGTGTTAGACACCTTGTAGAGTCCATTCCCCGACGAATTGAGGCTGTTCTGATGGCAAAAGGGGGTGCACCTCAATATTAGGAAGGTGTTCTTAATGTTTTGTACACTCAGTGTATAAAGATGAAGAAAAACAAGTATATTTTATATGAATACTTTTTTCTAAGTTATTCAAGTTTAAATTACCAAACACAGATTGTAGCCCAACAGAAAATTCCGGTAACTTTTGTAAGTTACTGTTAGTTTTGCAACCAGTCAATGGTCATGTTGTGTCACCCCTGCAGTTTGGTTACTTAGTGGTCCTCTACACTCCCTTTCTCTGTCATCTCACACTTTACGGATGGAGACAGCCTCACATCAACTGGGTTATTGTGTGCATTTAGCTACGAAGGTAGGCACAAAAATACATATGGAACTGATTCATACAGCAGTCATCTCGCTCAGGAACTCAATAGAATAGACCAAGAGGAAAATCTTGCACACACACACACACACACACACACACACAACCTCCCTCCCTTTCTTTTTATTAACCTGCTTTTTCATTTGTCACCTTCTTCTCACCCTCTCTTTTTCCCTCTTCTCACTCCCTCTCTTTTTCCCTCATCTCACTCTCTCTCTTTTCCCCTCCTCTCCCTCCTCTCATCAAACCATGGTCCTGTGAGTGTTGTCTGTCTGTCAGACTGGCCGGTGGTGATGACCAGACCTGGGTTCAAATACATGTGTATTTCAGTATGGTATTTAAAATACTTTTTTCTGTTATTGGAGTATTTTCAAATGCACAGCCCAAAACAAGTGCTTTTATTTGAGTATTTGAAGAGTGTTTTCAAATACTTATTTCTAATACTATTTTGAAATACCTGGGTTAAATGCACGGGAGTATGTTTGAGTCAGTGTATTTGAGTATTTTCAAATACTTTGTAGGTGTATTTTCAAATACATTAAAATATTAAACTACTTGTCTTTACAAATAAAATATATCTGAATATTTACTTCAAATGTACAGTGCATTCGGAAAGTATTCAGACTCCTTGACCTTTTCCACATTTTCTTACGTTACAGCCTTATTCTAAAATGGATTAAATAAATACAAATGTCCTCATCAATCTACACACAATACCCCATAATGACAAAGCGAAAACAGGTTTTTAGAAATGTTTGCAAATGTATTAAAAATAAAAAACTGAAATACCTTATTCACATAAGTATTCAGAACCTATGCTATGTGATTCGAAATTGAGCTCAGGTGCATCCTGTTTCCATTGATCATCCTTGAGATGTTTCTACAACTTGATTGGAGTCCACCTGTGGTAAATTCAAATGATTGGGCACACACCTGTCTATATAAGTTCTCACAGTTGACAGTGCATGTCAGAGCAAAAACCAAGCCATGAGTTCGAAGGAATCGTCTGTAGAGCTCCGAGACAAGATTGTGTCGAGGCACAGATCTGGGGAAGGGTACCAAAACATGTCTGCAGCATTGAAGGTCCCCAAGAACACAGTGGCCTCCATCATTCTTACATGAAAGAAGTTTGGAGCCACCAAGACTCTTCCTAGAGCTGGCCACCCGGCCAAACTGAGCAATCGTGGGAGAAGGGCCTTGGTCAGGGAGGTGACCAAGAACCTGATGGTCACTCTGACAGAGCTCCAGAGTTCCTCTGTGGTGATGGGAGAACCTTCCAGAAGGACAACCATCTCTGCAGCACTCCACCAATCAGGCCTTTATGGTAGTGGCCAGACGGAAGCCACTCCT